TTTTTTGAGACAGAGCCTCAAGCTATCACCCTGGGTAGAGTGTATCACAGCTCACGGCAACCTCCAACTCCTGTGCTTAAGCAATTCTCTTGCCTCAGCCTTCCAAGTAGCTGGGACTACAGGTGCCCACCACAATGCCTGGCTATTTTTTTTTTGGTTGTAGGTCTCATTGTTGTTTGGCAGGCCTGGGCTGGATTCGAACCCACCAGCTCTGGTGTATGTGGCTGGCACTCTAGCCGCTTGAGTTACAGGTGCCAAGCCTTAAAGTATTTTGATATTTCCAGTCAAAGCAATACATGGAGGTGGTTATAAAATCAATTAGTACACTAAGGCTTATCAAGTAGAACAATAGACCCCTCACACCTACCCCATACCACAGCTCCAACCCCACTGCTCAGAGAAAACTATTCTCACAATTTGTTCAGAAGGTACATCAGATGGTTAATTCTGTAACTTTAAATGATGCACTTATACCACCATTTCTGAATGTATTAACTATTAGATCTTGCCTACAAACTGCCTTCCACAGTTCGATGAAGAGTTTAATTCATTTACTCTACTTTTGTACTTTCCTTTTCCCCTTCTAACAACATAGATATATACATAGTTTTAATTTCCCTACTGGCTATGTCTGTAACTTTAAGTAACCTAAAGCCTGTTTTGTTTTGTTTTCTTTTGAGTTCATCAGTTATAAACATACCCTAATTGGTAAGATGATATTACTACCCAATGCTCATCTCCTCTTCTCCTCCTAGTTTCCTCCTCCAAACTATCATTAGCATTTTTCTATTTCATTGCAGAGGTTTAAAATACTTGCATTCTGTTCTGTATCCAAAGCTAAATCCTTTTCAATGGTTTAAGGATTCCAAAAGGTCAGAAGCAATAAATGGTATGTACATAAGTTTGTCTTTGAAATACAGTTCACAGAAGAAGCAAGAGTCTTCGTGGTCTAGGCCACTCAAGGCTGATTGATTGCTTGTCAGGTCTGCTACTCAGCTGCATCCTGGGATTCACCTTAATTACTCTCCTGGGCTATCATCACCATTTCCTCCTCCCACATCAGCTCCTGTCTTAATTGATTCCCTTGTTTTACTGGAGCATATCAATTGACTTCATAAGGAAAAGATCACAGGAGATAAAAGCTCTGAGCCTTTCTGATTGAAAATGTCTGCATTCTGCCCTGACACTTGCCTTGTGGTTTGACACAATATAGAATTTTAGGTTTAGAACCATTTGAGAGGATCACTCCACTGTCCTTGAGCATCCAATGTTGCTGATGATAAATCTGATGCCAGTCTTGACTCTCATTCTTTGGTAAGTGGCCTACTTCTTTCCTCTAACATTTTTGAGCTCCTCTCTTTATCCTTAGTGTTCTGTCAAGTGTTGGTCTTATTACATTTATTGTGTCTGAGTGACTCAGAGGGCTTTTTTGGTTAGAAGACTCAGGGAAATTATCTCATGATATTTCTGTTATAATTTTATCCTCTTCATTTTTTTCTGTACTTTTTTCTTGGAAATCATCTTAGCAAGATTTTGGATCTGCCAGTTGGCCCTTTATTTTATCTTTATTTTCTGGTGTTCTGACTATTTCCTTTTATTCTACTTTCTGGGAGAGTCTCTTAATCTTCTAACCCATCTGTAGAATTTTTGTTATGTTATACTGAGTGCCCATAAAGTTGGTGTCCATAAAATTTAAATTTTAAATTGCATACCAACTATATGGACATCCTATATATGTATTTATTTTTTAATTTACAGGATCTTTTTCTTTTTTTTTCCTGTGTTCTTTCCAGAGCATCTTGTTCTTATTTTATTTATGGATGTCATCATTTCCCAAATCTGTGTGCTGATGTTAGAATTTTGTAATTGCTGTTGGTAAGTTCTATTTCATTTTTTAAATGTTCTCAGGTCATATTGTTTCATGCATCTTGGCTTTTATTTCTCACATTTTATCACAGAAGTTTTCGTAATGTGTGGTGACTTGCTATGGCCTGTGTGTCTTTAACACTAAGATTGACTGAAGCCTTTATGTGGGCAGGACTCAATTAACTTCCATGTTTCACTTTAGAGTGAATGAGAGGAGAAGTGGTCCTTTTGATTACAAGCCCTAACTACCAGAATATAGAATACTTTTTGTTAGGACACAAACACCACCATCATTTATTCTACTCAGAAAATTTTCCCTATGTCTATATTGAAGACCCTTCATTGGGGGAAGAATTGACTATGCCTATGGACTTTCTGTTACTTTCAGCAAGGCCAAGGCTAGGTAAGTCCAGAGACAGATATAGTGCATAAAATTTAAGAAGGCACTTTTAGTCCATGTTTATATTTATTCATTCAGAAAACATACACTGTGTGACTATAACATACCAAACATTTTTCTAGGTAACAGGGATTTAGAAATGAATAAGGTAGATAAAAATCTCTACTCTCATCTTATGGTTTGACTTTTTTTTAAATCTGTCCATTCAGATACTTGAAAAACACAAAATATAAGTCATTTAATTTTTGTGAAAAGACAAAAAATAATTAAAAGATATTATTTTAATAGTAATTTCAGTACTGAACACACATATTGTCCAGAATTGCAGGACATACAAACCATTCATTGATTAATACACAATGCAGTATATTTTGAAAGAGGCACTCAACATACCCTGTCCATCAAAAATGAAAAAGAAAAACTTTCTCAGACAAACAAAAGTTTATTACCACTAAACATGCTTTACAAGAAATGCTAAAGGGAATCCTTCATGTTGAAATGAGAGGTTGTAAAACAGCAACATGCTAGTATAAGAAAATATGAAACTCATTGTAAAGGTAAACATAAGGACTAATACAGAATACTGTACCACTGTAATGGCAGTAGGTAAATTACTTAAGAAAAACTATTAAGCATAACTATAATAGTTTAAAGATATATAGTACAAACACATGTAAATTGTGACAATAACAAAAAGTAGGTAGACAAAGTTAAAATGTAGCATTTTTGCATATTATTAAACTGAAGTTGTTATCAATTCAGATTAGACTGTTATAAGACAGGTAATCCCCAAGGTAACAAGAAAAAATGCCTATAGAACTTACACAAAAGGAAAACAGAAAGAAATCAAAGCATATCATTCCAAAAAGAATCAACTAAACACAAAGGAACACAAGAGAGGAAAAGACAGACAAAAGAACTATAACACTAACAGAAAACAACTAATAAAATGGCAATAGTAAATACTGTCCTACTGATAATTGCTTTAAATGTAACTGGATTGAATTTACCACTTAAAAGATCTGCAGAGTTTGGGGGTTGGTGGTGCAGGGCCAGAGGATTACAGGTA